AATATAATTCTGTTAATAAATTTCCGAATTTCATTGCATTCTTTAGACAATATTTTAATCAATTCTCCTTATGATTTCATGCGAATTTACTAGAGCAAAACTTGCCCTTCGCGAATCCTCTGCCTATTCAAGTATCGATCTCACACGAGTGACGAGTAGACACATCCGACCTCCACCGAAACTATGTTACAACCTACGACCTTCTTCCAGTTCCGACTTTCGATTGGATTACCCGTTGTGCGATCGATGACGAATGAGAGAATTTTCGGAGCTCATCCGGGCGGCGACCGGCCCGCAGTAGATCCGCGTTTTCCGGATTAATACGAGCAACACGCGATGTTATTTCTCAACGAGAGGTCACTGCGCGACGATAACGCGCAGGAATATCCACGGACGCGCTCCGGCCATTTTGCGGACTATAGGCACAATGTAGATGCGTCCAGATAACGGAATGCCTCTGTCATTTGTCGTGACTTCATGATCCTTGGCGATTCAAACAGTCTTCTTGCTCAACAAACCGATTAAAACGATTTTCACTATCTTTAAAAATAATTCTGTATTTCTGCATTTTAACAAAGGGGCAGAAAAAGAACTGTTGACGGTTGAGGAAAGCGAGAACGGCTGTTTGAATCGACCAGTGTGGCAAGCAGCCGCGCCTCTCGGTAGCTGCCTTATCGACTGGAAATATCATCGCTGTATCATGGTGTGTTCACGCTGAGGAATACCGAGGAGAATGTATAATAGTTTACGAGAGTTAAAAAAACCCGGTGGTCAACGTAACACAACAGTCGCGTTCGGGCGTTTCCTCTTTGTTTCCGTTCATAGAGGTCCACCGTCGTCATGCAAACATTCATAAAATTCTTCGTTCGTATCGTCCCCACTAGCTTTTTCTTCACCCTCTATCGTTTCCCTTGATCGCGAAAACCGTCTAGCGAAAGCGCGCGACACCAATTCGACTTTTAATCGATGATACACTTTCCACATCCTGTATGTCTCGACAAGTCTCGATGGTGATGATGATGACGTGGTTGGAAGTGGACCATCAGGACGAGGACAATGTCCCATCACACCAGTAACTCTTTAAAGGCGTACTGCTGTGACAGGACAATATCCCCGGCCGGTGGGCTGATTTCTCTCCGATGTCTACCTTCCCCTTTCTCGGAGTTAGTACTGCTCTTCTTGGTGTTTCCTCTCTCTCTCTCTCTCTCTCTCTCTCTCTCTCTCTCTTCCTGTCTCTTGTTTTTTTTTGTCTTTTTCTCTTTCTCTTCCCGACTGCTTCTCGGTGCGGCAGTCAAACGGATTGCCGAACGAGATATGGCGGCCGGCGAAAAATACCCTTTTGCGAAAGCCGTATCATTCGGTCGAGCGTCCCGACGGCACTGCGTCGCTCGGTGGCGGCGGCGGCGCCTCCGCACCCTCTCTCCAACCACCCACCCGTCTCCTCTCCACTAGGACTGGGGCTCTTCTACCTTCGAGCCTCTCCCACCGCGAGGAAAGCTCACCCTCTTCGTCTTCGATATGATCCTCCGGTCTCGTGTATATGCGCACGCATGCGCGGGAGGGAGAGAAAACGTTTGCGCGCGCGTATGTGTCTGCTGTGTGGGTATACGTGACAGGGAGGGATACAAGGGACTCACAGGGCGCGGAAGAGTAGCACCGGCGCGAGAGGGGGACCGAGTACGACCCCTCGACGTTACTGGGGGCGGACGCGGAGACTGCTGCTTGGTACTAGGGATGTCTAGCGATACTGAAAATACTGAAAGTACATACGATCTCACTACACTGGTCTCGCCACCCCTCAGCCATCCAACTCTCTCCTCCCCCCCCCCCCCCCCCCCCTCTCTCTCTCTCTCTGATTCCTTCTCTTACTATCATTACTTCTCTTCCTCTCCCTTTCGCTACCCTTCTCTCTTTTGTTTCTCTTTTTCCTTCACACATTTTTTCTTTTTCTTTCACTCACTTTTTCACCTCACGTCCCGTCCTCGCCGTCGTAACGTAAGACGATCGAGGTCATCGGGAAAAGAGGATGCTTGGCTTGTTGCGTTATGGACATTCATGAATTTTTATAATATACGTTTATGATCATACCATCGAACAATTATGGATTGCTACTTACATTGCCGCGAAAACCATATATGTATCTACTGATGAGTACTTTTTTTTCGATGACAAAAATGGTTCGATTAAATAGTCGATAAGCCGCGTCACGCTGGCCAATTGTGCAATCGTCCACTCGAACCACATCAAACGATTTTTTAAAATCTCAGTTTACTCAGGTGATATTTCGATTTCGCGGCGATAGCTCGATAACCGCAAAACGTACGACGCATCACGACGAGAAAATTAAATCTGCAACGCGCGGAATTATTTTGCACACAATTTTAAATTCGCGTGAACAGTAACATGTAAAGACACGAACACAAACAGATAAAACCATTGTTTCGAAATAATTAGAAAATAAAAAACATTTAAAGACTTAACATAGATCACATTTATTGATGAAAACGATAACGTTAAAACGTTAATCTAATTACGACTTGCGGAATTTTTTTTACACAGTTTTATGCCATCTGTCTTGTCAAAGTATCCTGCCTCCGTAGAGTCGATGCGTGCGTGCGTACGGAGGGCGGATATTCCATTGATCGATTTTCTCTTTGGACTAAATGGGAGACAATCCGAAGATATCGCCTTATTGGAAAAATTCTGATTTCAAGAGACGACGTTTCGAATATTGAAGGACGGGCCTTCCTTGATGCAGTAAATCGCAGGGAAGACGCAAATGATATATCGCGCTCTAGACATCCTTTTTTAACCCTCAACTTTTTACCCTCCGATAAAAAATCGTCTGGAAAATTTTCCAATATCGACGGCAATAAACGTCTCCCTTGGAAATGAGACGTACGATTTCAATGTGAGAGCGAACGGAGTAAGATAGCGATAAGAGCGAAAAGCGTGAAAAAAAGGAAGAGTTTAATAATCATGATGTTCCGTTGAAGAAAGCTTCAACGACGAGTGAAAGGAGATGAAGAGAATATGAAGAGAAGAAACGTCGTAAGACGTTTTTCTCGGCGAGACCGATCACGGCTTCCTCGGAGGAGGGAGAGAGATCGTGGGAGACAGAAGCGAAGCCGACATGACCGAGCGAGCGACGCCGAGAGCCGTGCGGTGGTGCGAGCTACACACGCGAGAAGAACGCCGCGGAGGGG